GCATAGAGTGGAGTTTGGCGCACAGAGCCAGGCTGTCACTCACACTCATTGACCGTTATGCTAGGCCCGGAAGGTGAGGAAAGTTTGCCTAGTGGAATATGTTGGCCACAGAGAAAAGGAGGCTTCAGTCCTTCAAACGGGCCAAATGAATCCCCCAACCCATGGTCCACCTATCAATGCACTTTTGAAACATTACCTTGTGTGCTTCTACAGTAGGTCGAGACCTATAAACTATCTCAGTGCACATGCACGAATAACAGATAGAATCCTGATGAGGACTTAACTCTTTTCTATTAATGAACCGGTTTTTTAAATGAGTTGATTGAAAAGACAGGTAGGAAAACCTACGTCACGGTAAAGCTCTCAGTGGGGCAGTTTGGCTAGCAACTCATTAATAAAAAAGTTTATACTTCTCTTGATAATGCTGATTATGTACTAGTTTGAAATAGTCTATCATGTTTAATTAACAAATGTCAATGGCTGATAACTTATGTTCATTAAAATGTCACGTTTCTTACTTTCAAACCAGAAGGTACTGATATTTCTAATTGATGGAAAAGGAACCTGAGTTAAAAATTAACTTTCTACAAGTAATAAGCCAAAATCCTGTATTGATCAAGTTATTAATGATTCTTTCCTGCTAGTAATATTGGGTCCGTATGTTTACTAACATAGATTATGATTATCTTCGTAGTTAATGTTGAAGCACCGGAGCCGCTGGGAAAGAACGCAGAATAAATGCAAGTTTGCATAAGCGCTCCTGCCTTTCAACACACACGCCATCCAAAAACTGGAAAAGAAGCTGTCCATAATGAAATAAAAGCTACCACTCCATACTGAGGAGTCCAGGGAAGTGTCTGACAGATACAATGAAGTTGAGGATTAATCAAAAGAGGATTCCTGCATTTACCAAGCAGGCCACAGTTGCTGGGCCATTCATGAGTGTTCCAAAGGACTCTACCGATCATTTCTTCTTACAAGGAGAAGCTGAGCACACACTACGTGGGCACACATTTCCAGAAGCAAACCTAAGAGCAGACAGAGGTTGAGATCTCAGGTGCAGAGGAGAAAACCAGTAACCCAGGAGCCAGTCACACAAATGCTGACTATAGAAAGTCCTCAGTGTCGTCAATAGGTTCTTAAGACTTCAAGTGAAACAACATATAACAAAACCAATTTTACCACAGACTAATTGACAGAAGCAAATTAGGCGCCTACAGCATCTCATCAACATTATAACAAAATGACATTATGCAAGACCTGCTGTACATATAATCCAGCAGAGCCGATGTACGAGCCCACCACACTCCCGCTGGCACGACATCTAGTGGAAATGGGGAAAGTCAAGGGGAATCCCTCTCCCCCAGGGCAGAGGATTCCATAGCTTCCACGAAAGGCACTCAGAGACAACATGTTCCAAGGAGGCTTTACTTCATTCCTTATTCTCCCATATCCAGAGAGCATAACAGAAAACAAAAACAGCTGCGCCACTACAACCCATCGAGATCTAGCCTTATAGTTCAAGTGCTACGTTGATCTTTCAAATGCTTCTCACTTGGAAAAGGAGGCATCAAGAAGGATTTATCCATACTTTTCTTGGTCAGATAGAACTGGCCCCATGCAGACAAACAATAAACAGGAAATGCCATCATGATACTTGTGCAACAATGAAAGAGTAAAACAACACAGAAGAAAAGGAATGAAAGAAGCGAAAGACAAACACACTCTGGAAACAGAATGATTTCAGAAAGCCACGAAAATGTAGACAACACAGTTCGGCCTCCAAAGAAATGAAATAAGGAGCCAACGAGGACAACATGGTGAGAGAGAAAAGCTGGAAGAGCTAAGGAAACAAACGGATAAAAAACAAAACCATAACAGAAGTGAAAGCCACATTGCAAGCATCAAGGCCTAGAATCAACACTTTAGAAAACGGAGTCAGTGAGATGGAAGGTTAAAAGCTGAGAAAGAAATCATACAGCAAGAATAAAGACAAGATGACAGTGATTGAAGGAAAGATAAATGGGAAGGACAGAAAAGAGAGAGCCAATACCAAGATAAACTATTGAAGAAAACAAACTGATAAGACATGCAGTAAGGCCTGAACGTCAATATCTAATGCGCACTGCAAACCAGAAAAATCCAATAGACAGCTGTCAACTCTGAGATACACTCAAATGAAGTTACTGAATTCAAGGATAAACAAGAAATCACGAGTTCCCCAGGGCAAACAAACAGGTCATCTACCGAAGAGGAAGAAAGATCTGTCTGGACTCAGCCCTCTCAGCGCCACCAGACACTACAAGACAATAAAGTGAGGTCTCCAAAGAATCGAGAGACGAAGGATGTGACCCAAGAATCTGAGAGCCAGCCAAGTTACTGAACACAAAGGAACAGTAATAGAGGTACATTTGTAAGTGTGCAAGAAAATCCAAATGATGCTGTGACCTAGTCCACCAAAAGATGAAAGCATCAACTTTCAAATGTGGAGCCTTTGTCTGAAAGGGCTGGCAGTGAGCACTGAGTTCAAACATAGAATTAAGTCTAAATAACTCTAGTAATTACCTACAGCTATACACTTTAAGTTGCCTGTCTTCCTAGCTAAAAGTTGCCAAATCCATTTGATTATCTCCTCTAATTAACCACGCCAAAATGAAAACACACAAAAGAAAACTTCTCCTAAATGGAATTGTCTTGCACTATAGAAAAACTGTGGTTTCTATCTTTACCTTTGAGGGTTGGTATACCCAAGAAATTCCTCAAGAGAGATCATGCTAATTGTCCGGTGCATTGTTGAGAGCACAGGCCCAGGAACAAGAAGGCCCAGTTACTCACTTTGGTTCTTGCATTCACTTACCATGCCACCTTGGCAACCATTGCACTGCTTTGGGACTCATATGAGAAACAGAGATAATACCTGCATGGTCCACCTCACGGCATGGTAAGGATCAAATGGGATGCTGTATGTGAAAGTTCTTTGGAATCTTTAAGCAAGGCTATAATACCACGTCACTCGGTTGGTTGGAAAGAACCCTCTATATTAAGGAGTCGCGAAATATTCGGAGTCAAAGAGGATCAGAAGGCCTCAGTGGATCCATCCCTGCTTCCTTCTTTACATTTCTCTACATCTTAAAAATCATTGTTTAGCACTAAAAAAGGAAATTCGGTCTTTCCACAGCTCCTGACCAAAATGATTTTTAATCTGGAAGCAAAGATAATTTAAGAACTTAGAAAGATGTTGCCTACCACCCGAGGTAAATGTCTCTCAGTTTTCATTCCTTGATTCGACTGTTTACTAAGCACCTAGTATGTGCCAGGCACTGTTCCAAATAGTAGACATGGCCTCCAAATACTTAAAATAAAGTCAATGAAAGGCAAACACAGAGGAACTGAGAGAACTAAATGGATTTCACGGAAAAAGGATCAATGTCTATTTATACTCCAACCGATATGTAGAAATCTGATCATTTGCTTAGAGACAAACCCCACCAGCCAGCCAGAGAATCATGTTGAGCCGACAAAAAGGATAAATGAATACTTAGGGTCGCTGAACTGTGAGAATGCCAGGTGTTCCTGAACTCTTCTACGATTGCTTTGGCAGTTAAGTTAAATTCTTAATGCAGAAAACAAAGAAGAGGCAAGATTGTACTAGACTCAGATGAACAGGAGTGAACCAGAAAGCATATTAGCCAAGGACTACCAATTAAGTCACTAAACTACTGAAAAAACTCTTTTACTTTTGAAAAAGACCTGTGAAGGGAGGAAGGTGATAGGATTTCCCCACACCACATTTTCCATCTTCAATCTCTACATGGAGCTTGTCGTGAGGGCAGAACGATCGACGGGCATTACTCGACCACGCAGTGAAACATTGCCGGTCCGATGCGGGAGGGAACAGCTCCGGAATCTGTTGCCTTGTTCCCCTGACAGTGTAGCATACTTGAAAGTGTAAAGGAGAACGGTTGGAAATGGAGGCCTAGGAAGGTACTCGTATACTAACATTTATAAGGAAGCCAAGGTCTTTAAATGTAAAGGACCATTATTTTTACATTTTTTACACCACTAGAAAATAATCACATGGAACAGCCCTGTCCCCAACATCTTGTCAGATCCATCTTTGAAGTACATTGGCCTTTCTTTTACCTGACTGATTATCTGAGTTCTCTGATGAGATCCTTCTAAGGATGGAAGAGGTGAGATCTTTCTAAAGATGAAAGGAACTGCCGCATAACGAAGTGAAAGAAAATCAGATTCAGTGGAACTAAGAAGCTGCCACCAACCCACATGCAGCTGGTCAGAACACAAACTCCCCAGGGAAAATTTCCCACTGTGATAGCAGTGGGGACAACTGCACTGATACTGTCATATGACTTGGGGAGGAATAATACTTTACAAGTTACGACTTTTAAATCAGTGCCCTCGGTACCTAAAAATTAGATGGAAATGTTGCTACGGATGTTCAAAGAGGGCAGAAGTCGAAGTGGGTAACAGACACGAAAAATTACAGTGAAGAGAAACGCATCCTGTGGAGCCGTGTAAGTTGCAGGATGTGATCGGGACTCTCGGATAGCTGCTTGTTTCTAAGGGTAAACAGAATGGCTCCTGTTCCCTCGCCCCAAGTCCTCTGCTAGTTCCCACTTTCAAAATGCAAAATTCGAAAGAATGTGAAAATCAGATCGGCAATTCTAAAACTGGCTAAAATTCACGAAAATGAAAAGTTATGAAGATCTAGGGCATTTTCCAAAATAAACTAACTAGAAAGCAGTTTTCCCTTCTATAGTCTAATTTACAACTAGTGAAGAATATCACTCAAGGACCTCCAATTCCTTAGAAAACTACAAAGGAATAGAATATGACAAAGGTATAGTATCGGGCTAGTAAAATGTTTACGTAAGCATAAAAATTCCACTTCCAACTCTTTATAAACTTGATAGTGACCAGAAGGTAGTTTTTCACTTAAGATCTTTGAAACCAAGCAATTAAGTGAAAAATTCCAAGACGACTTTTGGAATGCTTTAATTGACAGAATGGAAGTACACAAACGAATTTTAAAATAAAACCAATGCATCAAAGAATAAGATCTAATGCGCAAGTACCCACACCTCACGCTGAGAATACAATCAGAAGAAAGAAGGCAAAAATCTCAATCAGAGTGAGGAGGGATGCATATGAAAGAGGAAAGGCCCTGGGACTGAATTATCAAGACACACTTGGCTGATGTCTCAACCTCCCCAGGCCTTAGTCGGTGGTTTGGGACAAACATGGTGTTTGGTCACAAAGTGCAACAGTAGAGATCTGCTGTATCTGCAATGAGTGGGAAGCTCAGAATCCCGGGGAGATGGTAGAACTCAACTCTATGATAATGACACAGGTACGAGGACACGAGAGCGCTAGCGAGGCTCTGTGCTCTCTTATGACGGGTGCCAACTGAATAACGGCAACATACTATGAAAAATTACTCATGTCACTACTTTAGTGGAAGATCTTAAGTAGCTACAGGAAGGTTTCTGTGGTAAAGGTCCAGCTGGTACAGAGAAAATACACATTCAAGCATTGGAATAACTATGATGCCACGCTCAGAGTTGGTAGAGGAAAGGAGCTCTCTCTGGTTGACTTGCAGATGATCTTTCTTCACAGACAGGACCAAAGCATTGAGTTCTCTAGAAAGTTCTATTGGTCTTCATCTTTTCTCTACAAAGAAAATGACAGGAATAGCCATACTGAGTTTATTAGTACAACCATCTCTATTTTAACTAAGATTTACCGAAAGCGTTTAGTTATAGTGATAATTCAAACACCCTTGCTTTATCTCTGAATTATTTTCTATGGTTACCACAGAAAAGGAATTACCATTTAATTACTTATATATACTTTAAAACAGTTCTTTACTCTCAGTTAAAAACCTGATTAGAAGGGAGGAGTGACTGCTAACGGGTACAGAGTTTCTTTCTGGGGTGATGAAAATGTCCTAAAATTAGATAGAGGTGAGGGTCACACAACTCTGTAAGTATACTAAGAACTACTGAATTGTATACTTTAAAAGGGTGAATTTTGTGGTATGTGAATTATATAACTTCTTAAAAGTCTGATTAAAGAATAAATTTTCTTAGAAATTCTCATTGAGCCAGTGGATTTACCATACTTACTAAACGCTTTGCCGAGATCACCCCCAATTATCCTATTTGTATAATTTGACAATTTTAATTGTTAGGCTAACCATTTTAGAATTTTAAAAGTTGCTTTCTGCTAAAATATGTTTAATAATATATTAGAAATTAAGACTCTTACTTACTTAGTATACAAGCTGCTAAACTATTTAAAGTTTTAAAATTGTCTTTAAAACAGTATTCACTTAAAGCTATCTTTTTACCATTCGAATGGACCTTACTATTTGTAAAAGGCTGCTTCTGTACTACCCAAATAACTTCCCTGTCAGAGCAATAGTTTGAATGAATTGGTAACATTGATGCCCAACATACTAATTGACTTACATACAGACTGAAGATGGAGTCAAGGAACACTGACCCAGGTGTCTCAAGGTGATTTAGCTTAATCTTGGCCAGAGATATGGTGTGCGTGTGTGTGTGTGTGTGTGTGTGTGTGCGCGCGCGCGCGTGCGCACACGCCCATGCACATGCATACCCGTGTGTACACGTACACTCATGTGCACAAACCAAACTCCCCTAAATTTCATCATCTCAAATGAGTGGCCGGCAATATTGCATAGAGGTTCATTAGAACACTTCCACAGAAAAAAATAATACATCAGTACAGATGCCCTTTATATCACTCATTGGAAAAGACCAATGCTACTACAATGGTAGAAAATTACAAAGCTATATAAACTATATTTGCAGATAAATACCTTCCTGTTGCATTATGTTAAGGTTCTCAGGGTAAGGAGAAATATATACAATTAACACATATTAGGGAGAAACACTGCAATGTTAAATTTGAAGCAAAAATATCGATATGAACTTATGATTTAAAATATATATATATATATATTTTTATAACTATATCCAGAAAAGGTATAATGTACACTCCCGACTTCCAGATTAGGGTTCCCAATACCCATTAAAAGCAAACAGGAATCCTTGAGGAAAATGGCTCATTCTAGGACTGGGGCAGGGAAGGTATAAGATGAGCCTAGGATACCACCTTGGGCCAGGAAACTTTCAAAGATGAATGGGGTTTTATCAATGGAACACAGAGGATCCTGCTCGAAATAGCTCCTGTTGCCTAAAATTATACCAATTTAAGCATCAAAAAGATGGTTGCTATGTGCAATAATGGATGAACATCACAGAAAGCCAGACACAAAAAGAATACACACTATATGTTTCCCTTTGTTTTAGGTTCAAGAAGTAATAAAGTCAGATATAGTGACAGGTGACAGAGTCATAATAATGCTTACACTGTGGGGATGGAGGAAGGAGAAGAGTTTAACTAGAAAGAGGCTTTTCCAGGTACTAGAAAATATATGTAAAAAGTTGTCAAGCCATAAACTTAAAATCTGTACACTTTAATATACAGATGTTAAGTACTGATTAAACATGTCCAAGCAATAAAAATCCATAATAACCATAACGATACTCAAAAAAGAGAAAGTCAGAAACTCATTATTTGTCACTATTTAAGATGGCTTCTAATTCAACTTCTTATCTCAAAAACTGGTAATTAAAGGGAAAAACTTAAATGTCTTTCTTGCCTTGCCAGGAGGAACTGTACTTCAAAAGGTGCCTAAATGGCCTTAGTTCATGAGGAAGAACTTTATAGAAGAATGTCAGTTAATAATTGTCAAAGGAATGATAATTTTAAAATTTATCTTCTTCTAAATGTTAATAAAATTATTGATTCAGGCCAAAATGATCAATCGGTGTAAAAACGATTAGCTGATGGTTACAGAGTACCAAATAACACTACACAACAGATTACTTTCTAGTTGAAGAGGGAAAAATAACTATCCCATGGAGGGAGCAGACAGCCATCATGAGGACTATGGTCCATCTCAACGTCACTAACGGTGGATCAACCAGACATCATGGGTCTCAGTGTAATATCCAATAGTGCTTATGAAGTATTCTAGCAAAAAAAATGCTCCATTGAGCCTTTACATGAACTTCCAGCTTATAGGAAATACAGAGAATGAGGGATAAGATACATGACATTTCAAAGAAGAAACCAAACAAATCAAGGTGGGATATTTTTGCAGGACAACTGGCATGGTCTCTCAACAAGAAAAAAATATTCTAGGTGAAAAATAACTTGAGGTCTACTGAGATATATCACATGGTCCTGGAATTTGCCCAGGTTTGGACAAATCAGGGAATTTTCAGGAGATGAAGATTTATTGACATGGAAAGGTGGAGATGATGGTTAAATGAAGCAAAACCAGGTCATAAAACGGTATGAATAGTGTGATCTCATTTGGGGGAAAAACACGTATGTATCGAAATAGCAAAATATCTGGAAGAACACACAAAGCTGTAACAGTGGTAATCTCAGGGTTGTGGAAATACAGTGGTTTCTCTTGTTTTCCTTATTTACATTTTCTAAAATTTTATAATCTTCTATTACTAAAAGCTTATTTTAAATTAAACAAAGAAACAGAACTTTTACTGTTGCTAGTTAGAGTTGGAGCTTAAGGGTCATCAGAAGAAAAAAACTGAAAACCAAAGATTGGATTATTTTCCTTATTATGGTAAAATAGTGAAACTCATTCTGTGATTGATAATTTTTCTCTTTTTCATTAAAAAAATTTTGTGGAAAACTATACATAAAATTTACCAATTTTACATATTTAGATGGTCAAAAATGGTTATTCTTAAGCATTCAATTCAGTAGTTTTAAATGTATTCACATTGTGCAACCGATTCCAGAACTTTCTCATCTTCCCCAAATGAAACTCTCTCCCCATTAAACGACAACTCCCCATTCCCCCAGCCCCTGGCAACCACCATTCTGCTTCCCATCTCTATGAACCTGACTACTCTAGGTACCTCATATAAATGGAATCATACATTATTTGTCCTTTTGGGCCTGGCTTATCACACTTAGCATAATAACTTCAGATTCATCCATGCTGTAGCCTATGACAGAACGTCGTTCCTTTTAAAGAGTGAATAATATTCCACTGTGTGGCTATACCACATTTTTTTTACCCTGACTGATAATTTTAAGTCATTTATTTTTTTCAGTTTGAACTCACAGAACTTCTCTAAATTTTTTTTCTGTCGATCTCTACAGATGACGACAAATTGCCAACTTAATTACTTTTAAAATATAATTCATGGCAAGATAAACTCTGCTTACTGCTGTTAATATCCTCAAACTGCGAGGACCCCCAGAGCAGTGGGGCCTCTATCTGAATGGCTACTCTGCCTACCCAGTTCCTTCTCTTCTTCCTGTCTGGGGTGAGAAAGCTGCTCTAATATTTCTTTAGGGATCACTTTGCCTTTCCAGTGATAAAATCATAAAGAAGATTTGGCTGAAAGTTATCAATTCTCTGATAGGTCTATTATGAGAAAATATCAGAGACTTCAGAAAGGAAAGCGAAGTAATATATTACTGTTTTGCCTTGTATTTTGAAGCATCTCTGGGCTCGCTGCTAGGATTGCTCCAATCATCGGCTTCAGGTGTGGTCTTATAATGGCGCCAAGCTGACTTATTGAAAACTGGAAGTCTCTCGAATGACTCACTTGAGAGTGCCTAATGGAAAAATATAAACAAAAGGTCACAGTGCCATTTGTCTCACATGAAATACTAAACCAAATTTTACAATTTAAAATGTTAGAAACCCTAATATATTTGGAATTATATTAAAATTACATTTTAGTAGCTTACTTAGACTGGCCAGGATAAAAGGAAAGCTCTTTTAAAAGAAATAAAAATATTCACTCATTCAAAACCAGTACTGATGTACACGTGATCAGAACAAAAAGTATTTTAATTCAGTTAACACTGCTTTGAGATACTTTTGACTATATGGCCTTAGACCAAGCACTACTGTTCACTGGGCAAATTGCTCTCCTAAAGGACCCAGACAGAAATAGTTTCCTACATACTAGATTTATAAACATAAGCCCATAAAGTGATATTAAATGTCACATCATTTAGATGTATTGGCATCTGAGATAAACACTGCAACTAACTGGTTATGGTGTAACATGTTACATGTATGTTAACATATAACACCCTATGCAGCTGTTAAAAAGAATAAGCCAGTTCTACGTGAACTGATATGGAAAGATCTCCAAGACATATCAGAAATTTTTAAAAAGCAAAGTGCTGCAATAATCATTTGTGTGAAAAAAAAAATTAAAGTTTCCTCATATGTTTATCAATACAGAATCAACCGTAGGAGGATCCATAAAATAGTGGGGCCTGTGGTAACCTCTGGGGAAGAGAACGGGGTGGCTGGTGGCTCAGGACCAGTGGTGGAAGAGACTTCGTTTTCCCTTTTGCAGCTTTAAAATTATGTACTCTGTGCCTACATTGCCTATTTAAAAAATACTCCAAGTATTCTCGAATTCAGAAATAAAGTCTAACGCCACCAATGAATGAGAAAACCTGTGTTACAGAGAACTTTGCCATTGGATGAACCTTTCGTATAACCGCATTATGATTACTGACTTCTTCTAACTTTGAGAAAGCCAGCAAGTTTTTATAGCAAAAGACTAAAAGACCTCAGTTTATGATAATGTCTCCTTTTAGATTAGCCCTTTCCATGGATATGCAATTTTTTAAAAGATCACAATTCAGAATTATGGTTTTAAAAATCAATTTTACTTTTTATATCTCCATATTTCATATTTTGCTATATCTGAGCATAAAATGAAGAGTAGGACATAATATGCTTTTCCCATAAAACTGAAGTAAATCTGAGCTGAATATAAGAGATGATAGAAGATACGGTGCTAGTATCTATTAGTTATTAGAACTTATAGTTTTAAAGAGTAGATGCCTTCATATTAATAGAAATAAAATGCAGTACCTTCAAATAAATGACAGCATCTGTACCCACTCCTTCCATAGAATAAAGTTTTAGATCTCCTTGAAAATACCTGGCATACAGACGCGAAATTGGCAAGCCATAACCAAATCCAGCCTATGGAGAAAATATAATGAATACAGTGAGACAGGCACAAATGATAACACATTTGTTAGGACGATCATTCAGAAGATTAAAATACATTTTTGGTTGAGATTTAAAGCAAATAAATTATTGATTCAACCTTTACAATGATGTACATGCTCATCTATGGCAAACAATCTATTTTCACTCTACAAAAACACTTCTCATAGGTTTGGAGAATAATAGAAATACTTCAATTTTTGACTAATGCTTTCTTAGCACTTTAAAGCACATTTTTAGCATTTTAAAAGCAAATCCCCAAATTAAGTGGAATTTGAACTGGCAACAAAACTAAACCACATCATTCCAAAGTTCCATTATCAGATCCCCACGCTCTTTGAAGTGAAAATTAAATTGAATAGCACAGGAGTGCAAATCTACCAGGACCAAGGCTAATGCATTGAAAAGAAAATTTCCTGAGAGGCTACTTTCTAAGGTTCTGGGAATCTACAAGATTTGAATATATGGTAGTCCATATATTTTTAGAGACAAGAAAACAATTCTAGTACTTCCCTATAACTCTATGTTACAGAGCCCTGACTGTAACAGGTTGTTTAAAAAAAAAAAAAGTCTCTGGTATTGACAAGAACAATACAAATAACTGAGACTAATTTCAGTAACGCTGGGGAGGACGGGGAGATGCTACCCTGCAAGCTTCGGCCCCTCTGATTAAATCCACGGCCAAGGTTAACAAACGAGGCAGTGGGTAGAGAACTGCGCCACAGAGTGCGGGTTGCCTGGGCTTTAGGCTCAGAGAGACCTAAGTTGAAATCCACTTTTTGTGCAAGTCCGAGCGATTTCCTCAACCTCTTTGAGACAGTTTTCTCATCAGAGCTGCTGTAGGATTAAATATATAAGTGTAAAGTCTTAGAGCAGTGTTTAAGACATAGTAAAACTCAATAAATGAAAACTGTCGTTACGGCTACTACAGAACAGCCATTCTACCAAGTTATGTGACTTTTTACCATTTTCTACCATCTTTCTTCGATTCCCTCCTCAAGGTAGGGCCTAGCTCTAAGGGCTGGGTGTGACAGAGCATAACCAGTCATTTAAGGGTGTTAAGATTGGCAGAATATGGCCAGTAGTGAAGACGAGACATCCATAATGGTGATTGAGATCACCACAGAAAAGAAGCCAGCATGTTCCAGGAAGAGGCCAAGAAAATCAAGGCCCAGAGCCTGCTCTCGGGTCTATCAGGGAACAGCTGAGAACGCCTGAGCCCAGTGCAGTCCTGAGTGAGAAGAGACAGGTAACCCCGGAGCCCTGTAAAACGCAGGGCAGAGGCCACTAACTCGGATTTGGTCAGGTTCAGGTAACTTTTCCCAGGGTTTCAAAGGATCGATAGGAGCTGGCTAGGAGGACGTTTCTGAAAAAGAAATCCATGTGTCAAGGCATGAGGCTGTATAACACAATAGAGTGTTTGGTGAGGAAATTATGTTCTCTAGTAGTACACCTCCGCATGCCCACCTGAAGGCTGAGGACAGTTTATTAACTGGGAGAGATACTACTGGAAGCATTTCTTCAAAAGGAGAAGCCATGTGGTGCACTGGAAAGAATGTGGACATGGCCAGTGTTCGCTGTGCCGTAAGGAGCTCGATGGCCTTGGGCACGGTCCTAAGCTTATTTTCTCATCTACAAAATGGCAGCAGGTCAGACATAGAATTTTTCAACGTCTCTTACTTCAATTGCTCATTAACAAATTACATTTCGTTAACAAATTATGACATAACAGTTATCCCCAAATGCTATTTTGAGACCTGGAATACATGATCTATCTTCCTTTTAAACAACTGGAGAAGGCTCTAGATTTGCTTGTATGGTTTTTTTTTTTTTCCTTTTGACATTTATTTAAGTAGGTACCAGAACCAGGTCGAGGCGATGCCTTTCAAAACTGCTGTTTAATGAATTTTCTTAAATGTGATATGTGACTTCCTCTTTATTTTCAACATGCTGAGTTAACAAACTCTGTCTCAAATAAATGATGCAAAGTGTTGGATTTTATTCACACAAATAAAATATAATCTTATGTGCTTTTCAGTCAGGTAGAACTTGGAAATGAAAATTAATTTATATCCTGCACCACTCTGCAGACTGATAGATTTATTGCTGTGTTTAATGACCAAGGGTTCACCTGTTGTTTGTCAATTAGAAACACTCAGCAGGGGAAGAAAGTATGGCCCTACCGGGAATCTAAATGCTGCCATGGCAACCAGAAACTTTTCTCACTGCCTTAATAGGGCTGAAAGTTATTTCCAGAGTGAGAAAGAAAAGGCTCTGAAAGTGCATATGCCACCTATATGTTTCCTGCTTATGTTTTTAAATATAAAACTGTAATGTGTTCATAATTTAACATTTTAATTATATAAACGAATTTGGCAGGGAAGTTCAAAGGCCTCAGGTGATTTGGTCCTCTATGGCATGCAGTGCCAAAGCGCCCAGGACCACGCAGCAGCCATACCCGCTGTGTCGTTCCCTTGCTCACCCGCTGTCAAACTTCAACTACCTCTAAAGGAAGCGCCAGGCGGACAATGCTGCTCCGGCAGCAGCCGTAACCACAGGGAAATGCTTTTTCTCTATATTTGAGAGTGAGGCGCTGAGCTCTGAGTGTTTATTAGACACAAATTAGGGAAGAAGTCTAAGTCCAGAGGATTCACAAAGAAAGCAGCAGTGGCATAAAATTCTCCCTCCTCCAAACCACACAGGAAACATTCCAGTTCAAAGAGGCTGCTGCCCCGCTCTGTGGGAATCCTTGCTCCTGTTACTGGTCTTCCCTTAAGCAGCAGTTTAAGATGCTCACCAGAGGGGCGGCTCTTGAAGGCTCCAGGCTCGGTTTAGGAGCAGTTGAATACATGTAGTTAAAAAGACGGTCTATTTTTCGAAGGGGGACGCCACCACCTAGGTCAGTGATCTGTAATGTACAAAAGGAGGAGGAAGGCGGGTAGTGGATGGGGGAAGAGACAGAAGTCATCACTCCACACTTCGCAGGAAGCAGCAAGTTCATTAACTGAAGTCCATACCTGATTACTTTAAAATGTACAAGGGCTTTGAATCCCAAAGAAATATGGTTCCTTTGTGAACAATGTAAAGCAAAGGGGGGAGGGAAGTGTGGTGGGATCCCACAGGCTTGGGTTTGAGATCTTGTTTAGCTTCCTGAAAAATGGTACTGATGAAGCTTAAATAAGGCAACTTAAGCCAAGGATCTAATACAGTACTCACGAACATGACACTGCATAAATGTCAGTTTCTGTCCCTTCCCTCTGATTCCTCAATGTCTAGATACCATTAAACTAACCGATAATTAAAGTACATGTACAAATAAAGCAGTTACCTTAATGGACAAATCTTCTTTACCCAAAGTAACAAGAGTTTTAACGGATGGATAGCTTTCTTTTCTATCTTCATAGAGTTCAACTGTAGCTCTCATTGAGTTCTGAAATAATAAGACCTTTTTTTCTAGCATACCGCTCACTCGCAAACCACAATTAAAAAAAAAAACTAGCACAACATTACTTATACACAATTCTCTTTCTTGCAGGGCAAATATTAGTTGTATTTATATGGCCTTTTTTCCCTCTAATGAGGTTAGCTAAATCTGTGTTCTGATCAAGAAAAAAACTTCCTGTTGCTTTGTTTTTCAACTAGTTTTAGTCCCATCTACCATACTAAACATCTATTTTTCTTTCCTTCCTTTTATTTCTTTTTATTTTGCTTTAGGGTATTCAGATTATTCAACTTTTAACCAAGAGGAATGTTTTTATCACATGTAATGAGGCTGAGAGCCTCAGTGATTCGTATTAAACCCTATTTATCAGTCTGCATATACAGAGCACCTTTCCTCTAAAGAAGATGGAAAATCTGAGAAGATTCATGCTTCCCACAAAAATTAACCATTTGGCTGAAGAAAAAAAAAAAGTAGAAGAAATGTCAGTTAAAAAGAAATTCTGAAAAAGCCACAGCTGTTGAAGAGAAAGTTCACAACTGAATGCCCATTTCAACCTTCAAGTGTTACATCAATAACAGTATAATCTGGGGAAACAAATGAGCATAATTGATTTTCAGGTGTTCAATTTAGGGCTTCAAACAGTGGAAGAAATAAAATTTTAGCTCAAACGCCTAGTGCCTGTTGTATTGCTACCTGTAAATGTCATTAGCTACTGGTTAACAAAAGCAACAGCTTAAGCTGTAGAGATTCTAAAGACACTTTTTTTTTTTTGCCCGG